GGGGAGGGAGGAGATGCGGTTGCATCCTGCCAGCCCCACGGCTCCCCAGGGCTGCCGGTGCTCCTCAAACCCACCCCAAGTCCCAGGGCTCCCCAAGGACATTCCCCCATGGGACCGAGGTGTCTGGCAGCAGCCAAGCCCAGGTCCCTGCCTACCTGGCCCAGGGGCACCCGCTCCTTCGCGGGCCTCAGGACCACTCCATTCTTTATCCTCTCCATCATCTCCTGCACGGCTCGAGCTTTCACATCGTCAGCTTCTGGTTTGCCTGTGCAGGGAGCACCGTGCTGAGACCCCGCACACTCATGACAGGGCTCGGGGTCCCTGCTGGGGTGGGGAGCTGCCAGCTCCCCCATACGCGGGGTCCCTCTCACGAGGCCAAACCCAGCCATGACCTGGGGCTGGTCATCTTCCACCCATGCCAGGCAAGGAGAGGGCTGCTGAGGCCCCAGCACTCTCCTTTGGGGAGCGGAGTGCCCATCATCCTCCCAACAGGAGCTTGGAGCAACACTTTTGGATGGATGGGAGATGCCTGAACCAGTGCAGTGGTTGGCAAACCTCTGTCCTGCAGAAAGCCTGACCTCCCCGTGCCCGGGGACTCTCCCATCCCCATGGTGCTGCCAGGACCCCCCCACACACACTTTGGGGTGTAGTGGGACAACATGAGGGGACTCACTGCGCTGCAGGTTCGCCAGCCCTTTCCTCTGCCTGATCACTGAGAGCGGGCTGGAAGAGAGAGGAGAGGTGAGAGCCTGTCCGTGCTGCGTCCCTCACCCTCAAAAACCCAGGCACGATGGCCCACCTGCCCACTGCCCCTCCGGTGAGGACCTGCCCAGACCTCCTCCCCAGCTCAGGATCAGGCCCACCTCGTCCTCCCCAACATCCCGCCGGGGTCTGCCCCCCCGCAGCCATCTCTGCCCCACACCCCACACCTCCTGCCAGGGACGATGCCCAGGCACAGCTTGGGGACAGCCTGGCACAGCGGGTGAGAGCAGTGGGGTTGGAGGGAAGGGTTTGCCCCCAGCTGGGCTTATTTGCTATAGCAGAGACAAGCTGGAAGCCCCCTGAGCTGCTCGAGTGGCTCTCTGCAGGAGGTGACCGGGATGTCCAGAGGTGTCACTTACTCCACGGGGACAGCAGGTGCGGGTGGTGGCAGTGGAGGTGGTGGTGGTGGTGGTGCGGGTGCAACCATCTCAGGGGTCTGGCTCTGCGGTGGTGGACCCTGGGCCAACTTCTCCCGCAGCGACCCCACTGCAATGGGGTGCAGTTGGGGTTGTGCAGGGGTGGGGGAGACACTGGTGTCCCTCGGAGCCTGAAGCCACCCCGGCCATGGGCAGGCAGCGCCGTGGGCATCCCCCCAGTACCACTGCAGGCTCCTGCTTGCGTTGGGCAGGGGTGAAAGCACCCACCTTCCTCCTCCAGCCCCACCAGTCGCCCCTCGGCCTCCTGCAGCTGCTTCATCAGCTGCAGCTTCTCATCCTCGGCTGCGGCCAGGGCAGCTTGGGCCATATCCAGCTCCTCCAGCTCCGGCCGCCTCCCCAGCTGCTCCTCCAGCTCCTTCACCTGCAGGACCTGGGGGACAGGGAGAGGTAGGGGCAGCACAGGAGCTGCCCCCACCTCTCCCGGTGCAGTCCCTGCCAGGGATGTGGATGCTTCACAGCCCCACAAATTGGGTGCTTGCAAGGAACTTGAAGCTAATTTTAGGGCAATTTTTGGCCAGGTGATGGCAGCCGAGTAGGCTGGGTGGTGCTAGCCCAGTGTGGGACCCTCTCCCACTCACCCAAAAGGTGCTGGTGGAAACCCACGGAAGAACAACCTCTCCAGGCTGCGACACACAGCGCAGGATGGGCATGGCGGGGGTGATGGAGGGGTCTGATCCTGACCGCAGCCCGTTCCTGCGCCCAGGGGAAACACCACCAGCCCCGGAGCTGTGCTGTGCCCCAGCCCTGCTCCCCCCACCGCTGTGTCACCCACCCTCGGGGATGGCTCCTCACCCGCTGCTGCTGCTCCTGCCTGGCCTCCTCCAGCTCCCGGGTCAGGCGTCCCACCTCCTGCAGGGCTGCCAGCAGCTGGGCGCTGGGCCCCACGCTCTGCAGCAGGATCGTGCTCTGCCTGTTCGCCTCCTTCTTTTGCACCAGCATCTGCCCACAGGGACGGGGGTCAGGGAGGGACTGAGCTCCCGGGCTGGTCCCAGCAAGAGAAAAACCCTTTCCAGGTCAGCTGGGAGCAAAACCCATACAACCTCATCCTAGGGGACCACGACGGGTGCCCAGGAGCATCCCCATCCTCTCGGGATCCAGGGCTAAGCAGTGGATGAGATGAGGGTTGGGGTTTCTGCACCAAGGGACGCTGAGAACAAGCAGCCCCCCCCCCCCCCCCCTCCCCC